TACAAAAATATATATCTGTTTTTACACTCCTAGGTTTAACTTTCAATGCGTTCTTAATAGAGCTCTAAAGAACTACTGCATCGCCAATTAAGCACACATATGTCGTATTGTTAAAGTAATACATGTCTCCTACTGACTCCTATTAACTATTACATTGTAATGATTTATAAAGGTGTTGATGTTTGAGGTTAATTTGAAGAAAAAGGAAAGTCTGGATTTAGATTGTAATTGTTTTAAAAGGAGTAATGCAATAAATATAAACATTTTGATAATACATTTTCATCAGCAACGTGTAAGAAAGGATCATTTGTATGTGAATGAGGTTTGATAAAAATCCTGTAAGGAATAAAGTCATTGTAACGTTAAAGAATGATGGTGAGGTTGACCTTTACCCAACAACCCTGAAATTTAAACTTGTTTAAGAAATTTAAGTGCTTTAAAAGTATGTGAAGTTTGATGAGAATCCCTCATGGAATGAAGTGACTAGAGCACGGACAATGATTTTTTTTAAATACTAAAAGTGACTTTTACATAGTAACCTGAAAACCTGAACTTGGACAAGATATTTTGATGCCAAATAAGTGTGTGAAGTTTGATAAGAATCCCTGAAGGTATGAATCCGTTAGACAGCTGAAAATGGTTTTCTTAAAAATAACAGTGACCTTGATCTCGACCCATCAACCATGAAACTCAAACATTGACAAGATATTTTGATGTCAATTGAATGAGTTTGATGTAAGCTCAAGGAATGAAGCCGCTAAAGTGTTGATAACGATTTTCTAAAAATGATAACAGTGACCTTGACCCAACAACCTTGAAAATCAAATTTGCCCATGATAATTTTAATGCTTTATATGTGTGTGAAGTTTGATGATTATCCTAAAAAGTATGAAACCACCCAATCAATGACAATTTTTCAATTTCCACGGACGCCCGGACGTACGGACGGACTGACGGAGAAGATGACGCCAATATATGACCGCCTCCGGCGGCGTATAAAAAAGCAGGCTCCATTCACAAAGGAACTAGAATTGCATGACACAGAATACGTCGTCACGTGACAATGTGAGGTGTAATGGTCCCCATGTTATTCTGTCCCAAAGAGGGTGGTTGCCCTCAGTCGTGATGTTATGATATTGTTACACTCAGCACTTTTATTTGAATATTGAATATATAATCGTGTGTCGATTTCGACGCCATTGCATCGTGTAGTTAGCTCCCACGGGCCGTATCAACCTTTTACGCTAATATACAAAAGTCTCTGTGAGAGAAATTCACTCAAAATACATTTCCGTATGGAACCAAGGGTCGTCAACAGGAAAAGGTCGTTAGAATTAGATGACGTCAACATAATGTTTGTATGGCATGGAACCAATAATAACAAGACAAAGGTGACAGCTGATTCCCGAGTAAATTATACAATATTCATAAAAGTAATTCGACCTGGAATATCATCTTTTAGGGTTAGACGAGTTGTTGAAATGCTATTAAAATACTAGATTACGCTGGAGATGTCGATTTTACAATCCAGTGACATCAAGCATGTCGAAAATTCGTAACGGATAATGTTTCATCGTCATTGTTAAGTACATTTAATTCCGAAACAATGCAAGTCACATGAGAGGATATCTACGTGGAAAGTCCCGTAACACGATACTCACAATTAGAAGAGAAGTGTTTTCGTCATACTGATGTAACTCGGATAACCCAGTTGATTCGATATTCCAATATGACGACAAATGACAGACAAGTTTTACGGTCATGATAATCTCATTGAGAAATATGTTTATTTTTTTGTGCAATTAAAAGCTGGATGTATTTGATGTTCGTTAGTTTGCCTGTATGTTTCCGTTGATGCAACCTGTTCCTTGTCCTTGTTTGGGAACGTGACATTAATTGCTTGGATTGACCAAGATTTTCATGGCAGGTGTCGTCGATTGAGCAGACGACGCTTACTCTTCCGAAAGTCTGGTCTTATTCTCTCTGTACTTTTTCAGGAGTCTCCGTCAAAATCGTTTTTTTTTTGTTTATATTTTACCCTAGTTTTATAGAAGTTGACCTTTGATTATGATTCTGTTGACAAGTTGATATTTTCTCTGTTGTTCAATGCTATCTCTCTGTTTATTACCTGAACACGAAAAGCCATTTTTTATCACTGCTACAGAGTTTCAAACGCACACAAAAAGCAATTCTATAACGAGAAAAAAATAACGCAAACGCTCAAAAAGATATTCATATTTATCAAAACTCTTCTTCATCTCAACTTCCAGTTGTAGTGGAAATATAGGTGTACTAATCTGCCAATAGTTTAACTACCGTTAACGTGATGTATTGATCAATCTATCAGTGTCGGATTTAGTGCCGACTTCCGTCATCAGAGGTTTCGATCTTGTCTCGAACTTAACCCTTATTTAATCACATGTATATAAATCCGGATATCTATAAATTGGATTCAATCTTTTCCTCCTTCATTGTCTACGAATGTACTGGAGTTCGTCTGTGAGCTACGTAACAGATTCTCGGTTTTGGCCAATACAATCAAATTATGGTATGGCTTCAACTTGAAAGATCCGAAAAGTAAAACAAAGTGAGACTTATATGCAACCGAAGCATTTTGGAGAAATACTCAACTAATGAAAGCAAACACCTTAGGGAAATAGACAGAAAACTACGAAAATGTGAAAATCGAGCTCAATGTGGCGCTTTAAACGGGTCAATCGTCCTCTGTAGGTATCAACGGACAATTATCTTATAACCGCGGGCGAGATTCCCGAACATCGTGTCAATTTACTGATGAAAACGTGTCATCAAAACAACTATGGGCTATCAATATTGCTCTAAGTCTGTTGGAAGTCCGAGACTAGAGTTATTAAAACGTCAAACGTCGCAGCCTCCCAGCTAGAAAGGCTGACAAAAGACCACCTTTCTTCAACACAAACAACGCGGTTGGTGATCGGGTGGTAATACCATTTCAATAAGGCGACCGGGGCTCGATTACCAGATCGGACATGAAAAAGTATGGGGGTCACCTGCCAATATGACAATATATGCCAAATATCGGTTTCCTAGGTTCCTCCCGCAGTAGGACGTTTCGCGTTCTTAGGTCCAAAGAGAGTGACCGGTATTATTTGTCAGCTTTATTGGCAGTTTTTGTAAAAGTTAAGAATTCATTTACGCTGTAACTATTTCATATTTTTTACTTTATACAAATACTTGTGGGCCGATGTTTACTCAAAATCGATGAAAACATGACAAAATATGAAGAAAGGAAAGATAAACAAGAAGTACCAAGGGAACAGAAGAATAAAGCCAGGTATTTCGTAACAGAAAGAGCATTCTTTTTCACCGATGGCACCCGCCACGTAAATATCGGTCTATATCTTCAAAAACTTAATTGGAAATAAAAATCAATAAATATATGGCAAATTATGAAATGAAGAGAGATAAACACAGAAACCACTTAAAACTATAATTAGAATAAGAACAGGTGTTCCAGGTGAAGAATCTCCTGTTTACTGTGTTTGTTGGATGTTGTTCCGTCAGTTAGTCGATTTAAGTACGTTATGTCAAATTTTCAAACGAGAACTAGGTATATTGTATATAGCGACGCATCGTATACTTGGGACATACACACATTATCCAGGAATCGTCATTGATGTCCATTCTGCTAAACGACTCGCTGCCAGTATCTTTTCACACGGGCAGCTATTAACTCTCTAACGGTAAAACCGGGACGGAGGACTGTAGCCTATCCCTCGAGCCGTCCGTCCGTACGTCCATTTCTTGTGAACGCAACTCCTTCTAAACTTATCATCAGATTTTCACGAAACTCGCTCAATGTCACTAATACAATGGTTCAATGTGCATGAAGGGGCGATTTTACGGTTCATTGATTTTTGTAAGATTTATGATACAGACATGTTAAAAGTGATAATTAAAAGGACCAGTCTTGATCTTTATATTTTGTGGAGGCGTATATTGTGTCCACGGCACTTTCATGAAGGTCATGATTTTCAGTAAAAGATTAAAATTGTACAATCATTTTGATGATCTTGATTTTTGATTCTGTAATCTATACAGAATTATACGGGAGAAAATATACAAAGATGTAAAAAAAATATAGGTTAGAAACATTTCATCAATCCATTGATGTAAACATTCATCAAGCCACCATTAAAATGATTTAAAGGGAAGTTTGAGAAATCCTTCAGGGCGAAAGTCAATCTCTTAACATCGTGCCTATGTTAACAGACGTTCTCTCGAGACGTTAGAAAGGAGCTGGTAGGATTGCCAAAGGAACCCTATGGGGATTAGGCTGAGAAATCTAACCTAGCATTCCATCGTTTGGTTCCTCACATCTAATCATAATTGCAGATCGATATGTGGTTGATTTTTTTTATTTATAAAGCCCTCTTGTCGATTTCATGGTATGATGATCAAGTCATTCGGTCACTAGTGACGCCATGACGACGAAAGTGCAAAGTCTCGTTAACTCTGTGATTTATGTGGAACTCTGAGAGATAACAGTTTAACAGGTAATCTGAGATCTATATATTGTGTCTGTAAACATTGATTTTATAACACTTTTCATTTGTGAACTGAATTGTTTCCGATTAAATTACGACATCCGGGTTTTAATCGAATTAATGTAGAAAATTATATTCATAATGATTTGAAAGCGCGGGTTTCGAATTTTTGCTGTTTACAGAGACATTTATTTTGGTGTAGCAGTCATATTACGGAAAGTCAGTGTCACTGTCTGATGAGATAGGAGGCGAGGTTAACCAGGATTTAATGAGATATGTGTCTCCATAACTGATTATTAGTAAGAGCGGATTGGCGGAACGATGGTTTCAGATACCGAATCATGACCCGAGTTATCCCAAAGGCACAATAAATTCAAAAACAAATGTAACAAAATGACATACCTTATCTATTTATATCAACAACTCACTTTAAATTAGGTTGAAAATATAATATTTGTTTTGTATATATTACAGGTTATGGACATATAGCTCCGAAAACTGCTCATGGACGGATGGTCACCGTTGTTTACGCTCTTTTCGGAATTCCATTGACTTTACTATGTTTGGCGAACATGGGTTCCTTCCTGGCCAACTGTTTCCGGTTCCTGTACAAACACGTGTGTCTCGCTGTAATATGGCTATGTTGTCCGTCTCAAGCCAAATGGCAAAGACAGTCTGACAGCCGCATCAAGTCGTCCACTAAAGAAGAGGCGGACCTCATCCGCTCGTCAAGGAAGGGCGAGCTACACGATGACGTCACAATCGTCATAGGGGACAAAACGCCCAAGGCAAACAAAGAGAGCGAGAAAGTGCGCGTGCCGATCCTTGTCAGCCTGATGCTTATTGCTGCCTACATATTTGGCGGCGCTACCTTGTTCGCTATGTGGGAAGGCTGGGATTACCTTGTGGGGTCCTACTTCTGTTTCATCACGCTCAGCACGGTCGGATTTGGGGACTTTGTTCCGGGGGCTGGACTATATTCCTTCTCTAACCAACAGAAACTCATTATCTGTGCATTCTACCTGATCTTTGGCCTGTCGTTGATAGCCATGTGCTTCGAACTCATGCAGGAAGAAGTCCGAGCTAAGTTCCGGTGGCTCGGCACAAAGTGCGGCATCATCGATGACGACCGGAAGTGACCAACTGACCACTATTCATAGAATCTCATTTTCAACGATTGATTAATTTATGAAGTTATTCACCTCGTCATGTTTTTGTATTTTTTTTTTTTGAGTTTTTGAAAACAAGATAGACTACCAACATTTAGGTTGCTAGATATCAAAGATAACTCCTGATGAAGGGTTTAGATCGCATGTTAAAATTATGTTTATCTAGATGGTAGAATGCAGTAACGTAATTTGTAATTCTTTTTTTCTCACATGGTTTCTCAGTGGAGCTCACGTATACATGTATTTTGTGACGCTAAATGTTAGATCTGTTTTCATTTTGTGATGTTTTTTGTGCGTCAGTCACCCTGGAACAGCTCTCTGTACACTAAATCCGTCGAAATCATGTTCATGGTTATCGATACAAAAATATGTATTGTTTTAAATAGTTTTTATAAACTGGTGAGTGGATTAAAAAAATATCTTTAGCTCAACTGGTCGGTGAGTTTATACCATACCGCGACGTCCGTCTGCCATCGTCCATCGTCCGGTGTGTGTCGTCCGTCGTTCTTCAGCAAAATATAAAAATCGCAAACAGTAAAAAACGAGTCAAAATCCTTCTTCCGTAGGAATGCTTGGATTCTGTCCCGATTTGGTCTGAAGCATCCTTGGGTAAAGAAAAGCAATTAGGTTTAGTAGGAGGGTTTCTGCCACCAGGGACGGGATGTACGGGGCCCTATGATGGGGCATTAAGCAAGTCTGTCTGCTTCTGAAGGAATGCCTGGATTCTGTTCTTATTTAGTCTGAAGCATCATTAGGTGAATGAGAATCATTTTTGTTTAAACGATGTGGTTCGACAACCTGGGGCTGAAGGGGCAGAACCCAATATGAAGCATCGTTGAGTGAAGACAGTTATTTTGTTTTGTAAAAACGTTCTCGGTCCTCTGGGCAGGAGGGACGGCCCGAAAGAGGTAATGAAGGAAATTATTTTAAATACTTCATCTTCCGTAAGAATGTGCGATTTTTTTTTCAAATCAAAAGAGGATAAACCATGGATGTGGGCTCCTCTGGGACAGGAAAGGTGGGACCCAATAGAGGTACTTTAAAATACTTCCATCTTGAGGAATGCCCGCATTCTGTCCCCATTTGGTCATAGGCATCTTGGATTTTTGAATAAATGGTGGGTCTGGACCTATTGAGGCCAGCGTGAAGGTGGGGCCTTATATGGAAAATAAACATATCATTTTCAATTCGTTGAGTTTAAATGAAGCAACAGATGGTGATACATGCCTCAGTTGATTCGATTCGTTTCGAATATCACGGCTTTCGTGAAGAGTATTGTCAACTTACAAACTCATAACACGGTTTCAAATTATACAGGTTGTGGAAATTCATGGACACCTAACGGTCATCATAGTGATCTCACTGAGATATATTAGATTTCTGGATGCAGAAGACGCTTACTCTTCCGGAACACATGATCTCACTCTCTTTATACCTTTTTTCAGATTCTTCCTGTAAATCTTTCTTTTGATCATATATTCCCCTATCTTTATTTTAGTTTCTTTTCGTTTCAGCAAACTAAACCTGGTGAGCAATACAGGCCTTATGGGCCTCTTGTTTGTTTAGTTCGCATTTACGGCACAACGATTTGTCATTGTTAAGAAACTAGATTCAGTTTCTGTATAGAACGACAGAAAATCTGCGAAAAAATATGTTTTATTCTAAAAGGAGACTGGGGTAAGCGACTAGAAACTGTGTGTATATACGTGTGAGAGTAAAACAATGCTGATGGTTATTACATCTGTGGAAGGTAACTTGTAACCTGTGGCCAGCAAATCAGAGGGCGTACGTACTACCCATCTAGCGAATTACTCGTGTAAATGTCGGTACACATTTTTGTCTCTGGGTGTATCTTTACTATCAGTACCTTACTAATGTTTATCACTGATGTGAGCAACACATTCTCTCGACAACACTTAAGAACACCATATTTTTTACAGAAAACTAGAGTTTACAATCCTGTTTATGTAATCGTTTACCTGTAGTTGTAGGTAAAGGTAGTTTCCTATATACATTTGTCTGTGTACTTGTTTTATAGAAAGAAATATAGAAAACGAAGAGAAGTGATGAACCTAGTTACCAATATACTGGTAATACTGGTCGTTTTCTAAAGGTAAATGTAACTACATGTAAATTTGTTATTATCTGTCCATGTCATACGGGATAATTATACCGTTTTCTGTATAAGTAAGTAAACTTTACTTATCTGTACAGGTAACTTAATTATGTTTTATTTACTTACAGGATATTTACAGGTAAAAAATATGATATACTTTTCAATATAACGGATTTTCCGATTCTCTATAGTTTACTTAATGTACATACACTGATGGGTATTCATGTATTCTACTTTCCGTGTATGTAAAATATTTTCTATTTTTACGATAAAAAATCGATTGATTTTTAATTCAATTTAAGGCGCTCAAATATGTAGCTATCCGAAGTGGTTTTTTTCACATTAAAAATCAGAATCAGGCTCCATTGTTTGTTGTATTTGTATGTGCATGGCAAAGAGTTCAAGCATTATCTGTGGAAAAACACTAAATCGTCTGAATATATTTAACACAAAACTTTTCAATGACGTGCGTGAAGAGATCGGATTTGAGGACCACCTTGAGGATTTGGGTTATTGACAAGAAGTCGTTTGAGGTTTGTAACACACTTGGCTCCTGTGACCTTGAAATTAAACTGAGGTCATACATTAGAAGAAACGTGGTAACGAGTTAACAAAGCATATTACAGAAGCAATATCAGTGTCATGTTGGATTGATTATCGAAAAGAACTCATTTAAAGATTTCCACACTTTTGACCTCTGTAACCTTGAAAGTGGATTTAGGTTAAAGTCATTCATATGAACAAACTTATCAGTCCTTTATACCAGCATGCTACAGACCCAATATCGGTACAACGGACCTTTGGTTATTAAAAAGAAATTTGTTTCGTTTTAAAATAAATTTTAACATGTTTAGTACCTGTGGCCTTCAAAGTAGTTCAAAGTCATTCAGTTGACCTAATTTGAAAGCCGTTCATATGGTTTTGATTATTGAGAAGAATTCTTTTGAAAGTTTTCGCACTGGGAACAACGCACGACGCCGGTCATCCTGACCTAAAATATAGTCATACTACAGTATTACAATCCTTCAGATGAAATACCAGTTTGTGATACTAGTACTGGATTTTCAAATCTCATAAAGATCCTAATACACTACCATCCTTTAATATAAACTTTATTTTATTCCATAACAACATGCGAATAATACAGAGCAAAGTATACAGAGGAATTGGAAACAAGTTAAACAACTTATATAAATCCTTTGATAAAGAGGTCGTGCACTAATCTGGGGCAAAATTTCCAAAAAACACGAGAAAAGTGAAGGTAAAATATCCTGAGAATGAAATCTCGAGAAAGGTGACATTAGTACAGATTGGTGATAAGTCTGTCAACATACTCTGCAATAAAAGATAAAATGTGTCGAAGAGGTTACAGGGTATTGACGAACTAAATAAACGTACTGAAACAGGCACACCGCAAGCAACACAACAAGAGGCACAACGAACCTGCATCGCTCACTTGGTATCAAATATTTATACCATTGTTGTTCATCACACAAATACATTACCACGTATAGCATTGACATTGAAATCCGGCACGTCTAATCAAAGTTTACAAATCTTCACAACAAACAGCTTCTAATGTAAACAGTGACAGTTATGACCTGGATTATAGGTAAATGTCACCTCTTTTGTCGAGTTTTGACCAGGAACCACCTTTACACTCAGTACTGTGGTTCTCGGACGGTCGGTTTACCGGAAAAGGTATTTTAAAAGTTTTGACTATTTGACCCCTGCGACCTAGAATATGGTACAAGGTCATTTCTTTTTCGCAAACTTTGTCGGGTTTTATACTAGGAACCTATCGACCGAATGTCATTCTTCTGTGCATTTTGGTTAGTCAGAAAATGCCATTTTAATGTTTTAACAAATTCGACCCCTGTGACCTTGAATGGTTATCAAGGTTATTTTCCTTTCGCAAACTTCGCCGGGCTTCATTCCAGCAAAACACCAACCAAACGCCACGACATTTAGTTTGTTGTTTATCGAGAAGAAGTCATTTAAAGGGAAAAGTTGACGCCAGAAGAAGGAAGGACAACAACCCACGTCATTAGCTCAGACCTTCGGGTCAGATAAACTTACAAATAGATACATGACAACCGACACAAACAAACGAATGAATGAATACACAACAAAAACAACAGATACATGACAACCCACACAAACAAACGAATGAATGATTACACAACAAAAACAACAGATGCCTGAGAAGCGACACAACAAAAGATTACATGGAAAACAACACATAAAAACGACGACCAACACAAGCAACAAATGAACACACGACAAACAACACAAACAAATAAATGAATGAGTACACGACAAAAACAGATACACGACAAGCGTCACAACAAACGGATAGTTGACAAGCGACATAACAAAAGATTACAGGCTAAAACACAAACAATAGATGGAATGAATGAATGGCCGTCCGTTGAGCTAACAAATAACGGACGTACAAACAACAAATGGACGCACAACAAGAACGGACATTAAAACAGACGGATTGATAACAGACGTACCTAAAGCAAACCACAAACATGCATGGACATACAGCATATAGCAGACCGATATATTACAATCAAAGACGGACATACAGAAATGCATGTTTGGCATACGGACACAAAAATATTCGATGGACACCTTACGCATAATTATCGGACAAACAAACAAAACAGACGGACTTATAAAATAATAGATACATCCCCCCCAAAAAAATAAACAGACAAAACAAATGATAAATCGATACCCAATAAAAATAGACAGACACAAATCAAATAAAAGACGGATACCTTACAAATACAGACAGACACCAAGCAATTGATAGAGGGACACCCGCCAAAAAACAAAGAACGAT